TAATCCCTATCTTGATCTCATCCTATCTCCTAACCCCTACGGAAGATTTCTCTTGAGCAATATTTGCAATCTGGACGAAACACTTCTCCCTTTTGAATACCTGTCTGTGTTAGGAATACCGAGATTCGATACCTAGGAACCACCAGGTAGGGTAACCTCTCCCGAAATCGAAATCTCAGGTCTCCAACACCCCGCTCCGGCCCCCTTACGGGGCCCGCGCGTCATCATACATATCGATCTAAGTTGCGTCCTGTGAGTATTATACCACAGAATCGAAGGTGTTAAAGTAACACTGTATACATCGCCGCCGTCTGTCAAACCGGATCCTGTTCGCAGGATATATAAGAGGGGACCTTCGGCTAGGTCTGGGAAGTATAACGGAGTGAATCCGTCAACTACCCAGAAAGTTACTAGGCTTCAAGAACGAGATATCTTTGGCATAGACCGCAAGTAACGGGATGTTTTCACGCAAAGAGATGATGATGAATAGTAAAGGATCTTAATGAAAGACCAATACATTCACATCCACCCTACGATAACCAGAAGAGTCTGGAACTCCTGAGAATACTACCATCGAACCCAATAGAGTTCGAGGAGTGTTACAACTAGGTTCCGGTACATACTACAACCGAAGGGGTAACCCCCAAACCGGTGACAGTAACCAGAATCCTGTTACCCACGGCAACCTTGGGTTACCGACCGAGGGATTATCTACCAACCCTATGGAAAGGCTTCCTGCAGGTAAGTAGGAAGTCCTCCGGAAAAGATCTATCGGTTGGATGCAACCCGCAGATGAAACTGATCATTTCATCGACAAGGGAGACGATTGGAGCCAACACAGTTCGACTTGAGAATTGGGCCATTTGTCAAAAAAGACTCTCACCATCGGATAATTACTATTGGAAATAGCATGACTTCCAAATAGTCATATTATAATTATCAAAGAGGGTGTGATGATTTTCAAAGTCTCCAGGTGTTCGCACCTTGGAAGAAAACCCGACGTTGCGAGTTATATTGGAAAAAGGTACATGGTTGTATATTAGTTAGATGTAGTCCACGAACACTCAGACGCGGAATATAAATATCGAAGTGCCTCCCAAGCTTTAGACATCATCAAGCAACGGAGAAGAGACCTTAACAATATAATATTGTTCTTACAATTTTACTTTACTTTACTTTACTTTACTTCGCTCTTAGTAGTCATAAACGAAACAAGTGAAGTCCGAGCCTTCCTAGACAATCTCCGTCTATAAAAACGAATCTCGATCGGCCTAGATAACTCTGAAGTCTATCAGGTTGTCTCCGCCTAACAGTTTGACCGAACCTATAATTCAACTGGGGAGAAAACTGTATGGGTAAAGGAAACACAGTCAGGATGGGACAAGCGCCAGGCTAGTTTAATCCTGTGTATTTTTGCAGATGGAATTGACCGGATTGCTCCTGTCCTCATATTTTATGGGAAAGATCAGCGATTAGGCAGAGAAAAAACAAAATATGATCCCACAGTAACCGTCCAATTCAATCCTACCGCCTATAATAACGAGAGTCTCTTTTCAGCCTACATCAATGACTACCTGGTACCTGCTCTAGAAGGACGGCCTTCTCTATTCGCAATCGATGTTTCAGAATTTTATAAAACACCGGCAATTCTATAGCAATTAAAGTCACACAACATAACACCGACTCTCATTCCTCCGGGTTGCACTGGCCTTGTTCAGCCACTCGACATATGAGTAAACCGCCCCTTTAAGGACATATTGCGTGACTTCACCGAGCAAGAAATTATCATACAAGAACAGAATGGCTTGGAGAAGTGGTCTGTAGGAGACCAGGGGGTATCAACCACTTGGTGTGTGGGACGGGCATGGGCTGAGTTTATAGGAAAGGATTCAGGCAAAAAGATTATCCAAGATTCATTCCGGAATGTTGGTCTTGCTCTTCCTATTGATGGCTCACAAGACTCACAACTTCGTGTGAAAGGCTTTACAGCAGAGGAATTGGCTATCAGTGTAACGTGTTCGCAAGGTGCTAATCACGTTATCGGTAAAGATACGATAGTTGGCAGGTGGCCTGCTCTTCCAGAGAGGAGGCGAGAGCTGAGAACTAAAGGAGGCTTCGAGGGTGTACTGAGGAACAAAGAAGTAACCGTTCAACCAAGTATATTGAAATACTATCTGTCGAAGTCTGCCCTTTCTATCGTAGAAACAGGCGGTCTTTAAATACACAAATCTGTTCATGTCTTAACATGAACGAAACTAATCAAAAGGTATCAATCGATACACTTTGGTAAAACTCCTTAAGTATCAAAGCGATACTTAAAATAAAACATAAAACAAAACCAAGTATCAAACGATACTTAAAACTAACCAAGTATCAAAGCGATACTTAAAACTAACCAAGTATCAAAGCGATACTTAAAACAAAACATAAAACAAAACCAAGTATCAAACGATACTTAAAACTAACCAAGTATCAAAGCGATACTTAAAACTAACCAAGTATCAAAGCGATACTTAAAACAAAACATAAAACAAAACCAAGTATCAAACGATACTTAAAACTAACCAAGTATCAAAGCGATACTTAAAACAAAACATAAAACAAAACCAATAACCAAGTACCCGTACCGGTTACAATCGGAGACTGGAGACTGGGCTCAGATATTGCTGGAGAGGAGACCGGAGAGATGGAAGATCTGATTGATGAGGCCGATGATGAGAACCCTCTTGTAGATTTCATTACCGGAGATGAATCGAAATACTCGTAATCTATTTCCTCATTTGCCTTTGCCCTCATAGTTCTTACTCGGCCATTTCTGATAAAAATCCTTTTATGCATGGCAGGCCACTAGCATATTCTTGGCTGCATGTGCATGCCTTAGCGCAGAATCATTCTTGGCTGCATAGCGAGTTTGGCAAGGTTTTGCGGTACTCGAGTACTGTACTAGTACTCGAGTACAAGCTCGCGACTCATATTTTTGACACCTATTCGACGGGGCTAGGATAAATTTATGATATTGTGTACCGGTATTTTTGGATACAGCCTGCCTGGCACGAGGACTTGTACCTAAGTACTTGTACGAGTAGACTACACCCGCGATCCCCGTCAGGTCTCCAATATCCCTAGGAATCGCGGCATTCGCTCACGACGGGGTTGGCTTGGCAAGTAAACGGAATTTCGAAAACCAGTTAATAAGATCCAACATGGCCAGAGGACTCAGGCTATACCGTGTCAGGAAAGCATTAATCCTTCTCAGGAACCTTGTCCTACCAATCCCGAGATTAGCGACCGGATGGAGATAGCGAATTGCAAGAGTTAATACAACACAAGTACCTGTACGGCACCGTCGCCAGTCCTCTCGTGGACTTGGGCTTTCAAACAGCTGCCATTTTGATTTAGCGCTGGGATTTGCGCAGCGTTATTGTTCATGTTTATGACAGTGCACGGTTGCTTTTTCTTGGCCGCGCTCCTCTGGAGAGAGAAGGGGGAGAGGTGTGGAGGTTGAGTTGAGACTGAGTTTCGTGATGTCAGGTTTTGGTGTCATTGATTGATTGGGATGGACTTTGATTGATTGGGTACCGTAGGTGTAAGTTATGATGGTATTAATGTTCCGGGGAGGATCGGAGAATGGTAGTGCTGATTGTGGTTGCGGAGTTTGCTGGGTGGGCAACGGGGTTCTGAAGGGGGTGGGCATTTATCAACAGTTCCCTGAAGGAGGAAAGTATGCTCGAGTATGGAAAGAAGGGCAAATGTATTTGAATACCGATACAGTACCACTCAACTCTGCTTGTAAAGTGTACAGTACCGTACAAGTGTTCCCTTGTTAATGCCCACCAACGAACCCTGGAACCGTAACTGACCCGACAGCACCGTGCTAGGTAACTTGCTCTTGTGTTGCCTGTAGGATCGCCAACACTCTGGAGGGGTAGCGCTTGAACACTTGCACTGGTACTATGAATTGGTGGGTAGGGATAGCTGGAACAGAGATGAAGATGTTTCCCGGTGCCCTGGTCCCATTAGACGAAATAACCTGGTTTTACATGGTTTGACATTGGACTAGCATTATTTACATGCAGAAGAGGTGAACCAGCACCGGTAACACTAATCCCAAGAATAGCCCAGCCACTATCACCGAGAGACTTGAAGCGGTTTCATTTGCCCCACCGCGGCGTTTCCGGATTGATATGATAGTGTACGGTATCATTGTATCATATCCCAGGGTGTGATGGGGCGTGACAAGACGGAGATGCTCCGCTGTACTCTGAGAGTACCACAGTGCAGGTACGAGTACAGGTACTGCCGATCGCCGACAACGACCCCTCAATGACAACGCCAGCGACGACAGCAATAACGTGGGGATAGCACTGCCTGCTTCATGGGCACCACGAACTACGTCCCTCTCGATATCTAGTATAATTTACAGTTATCGGCCAAAGGGAGTCTGGAACTGACCCTTTTTTTTCATCCTCATCACACCGTGGGGGGAATTACGATAACCCACGCTGATCCGCCACCCCCCCTCCGCCACACGGTCCAATAAAAACACCGCATATCAAATCAGATCTTCAAACATCTCTAGTTCCAGTGGTGACCCATTGGTGGAAGCTACAGGACTCATACGAGTTCTCTGCACGTGCCGGCAAGACACCGCAAATTCTTATCGTTCTTTTCCTGAGCGCCACCATTTTCAAAATGGTACAGAGCAAAGGGCCAGGCCGTTCCTGGTATTCCCTGACCGGTACCGCAGATTGCTTTGATTTTCGCACGCTCGCGTGGCAGGATCGCTTCAGAAGCAGAGCCGGGAATTTACTGCGCGAAGAGCCATCATATGCTACTGTATCATGTCTTGCCGCTCGACCAAGCACAAGACCTTATAAGTCAAAAGTGTCTCGGTTACTATTCATTTGCTGACAGTACTTATGGGTGTTTGTATGTCGCCACACAAGACAGGAGTTATTCTCGGATCCCGCCGTCTCATCGGTGCTACGCATCCATTATTCCCTTCTTCTATTACTCTTGCCTGGTCTTCTACCATACATACATAACAAGCCCTCGCTCCCCCGTTTCCCTCTTTTTTGGGGGGTGAGATACTTGGCCTGGAAACAGTGTATGATGCGATAGCCTGATTTGGGCCTTCCGGTTAAGTCATTGGCTCGACCCCCCCTTCCCCAGAAAGAATTGCATTTCTCAATCGTCTTCACTATTGAGCAGAAATTCGAATCTCACAATACATACAGGCTCACCATGGCGACCCTAACCAGGGCCGATCCTCATCGCGCCGACCTCTTCCACAGCATGTATGGTTATAGCAGTTCCAGCGTTGCGCTTCCACCACCCGTGCTGCTGACGAGTACTTGGTGGGACGAACAAAAAATCCGGGAAACCGCAACCCCGTGGTTCGTCCGTCAAGCACTGCGCTCCTCCTCTTCGAAAAAGCGCCTAGACGAGCAATTGCAATTCGGCGAGGGGTTAACAGAGAGTACGTACCTGGATTGGATACTCGAGCACACAAGGAAATTCTTCCTGATCTTGGTGGAGCTGAATTGCGCCGAGATGATTTTCGAGATCATAGATGGGTCATGGGATGATGAGGACTTGCCACTCAGCTTACAGACGGTGGAGAGGTTGGGGCTAGGTAGCGCAGGGGTGGAAAAGAAGTTTGCTAAGAAACAATATGCTTATTTGGTGAGGGAGTTGGTGCCCGGTGAAACGGTGGAGTATTCGGACGAAGAGGTGGTTCCTCTAGAGGTCATTTCCAGGAGGGTGCCGACTACATCTAGTGGGGCCACAAAGGGCGGGCTAGTTGAGAAGGTTTATTTTCCGAGGCAGAGGGAGGTGTATTACTCTCGGCGACGGGTACTGCTAAGCCAGGAGGGGGATGAAGACAGCGGAGTAGGAGGGAATAAAATGTCGCCTGCGTCATTCTTTGAGGAAATCTCCCGTCTTGGATCAATCGATCATCCACACATAGTTTCTATATTCGCCTCTTACACGCAAGGTGACTACGGGTTTCTAGTCCTTTCGCCATGCATCGACTTAACGTTAAAGTCGTTCCTGCATTCCACACCCCCAGCTTGGAAATCTCAGCCAAAAGACAAGCGCCGGCGGATAATCTTCAATTGGCTACACTGTTTGGCAGACGCGCTCGCGCACTTGCACGAGAAGGGTATTTCCCACGGCGACATCAAGCCTTCATCAATCATAATCGAAGCAACCACCTACAAAATCTTCTTCGCAGACACCGGAGATTTGAAACGCCTCGACTCCTCACCGACAAGCGCCGTGGGTCCATCATCCTTTCTCCCCCGGAAGTTCAACACATCACCCGTATCGGCGGACGTGGAGGGTTATGAGTACGGCGCACCAGAGCTTTGGCAGCGAATATTAGCACTGCACGGATCCCCGTCGCAACCAACAAACACCGTATTTTCTGGCCGATCTTATAGAAAAGCATCGACCCAGAGCACCAATTCCAACTCCTCCGAAGAGACACCCTCTCCGTCGTCAACAAACATCTCCGTCGGTCACTGGTCATCAGCTACCCCTGCTCACCCTGCCACATCTGATGTGTTCTCCTTAGGATGCATATATCTAGATGTCCTATCGTTCAAACAAAAGCGTAAAACCACGGCATTCATCTCCCATCGATCTGCCAAGAATCGACGACCTCGGGAGTCCGGTCCGCCGGACGCTTCGTTCCATTCTAATCTCGGACAGGTGGACAGCTGGATCGGCGGGCTTCTCAAAGAGACGAAGAAGAAGCCTGACGAAGCACTTGTCGAAGCGTTAGGCATTACCAGGAGAATGTTATTACGAAACCCAGAAGCCCGTCCGGGAGGGCGAAGAGTTGCGGATGAATTCTATACCGTTGTTAGCGGTGCATGCGAAGGTACCGAGGCGCCGTGTTGTGGAGTGCATAATATTGTTGGTGGTAATGCCGAAGGGGAGGTTTTTGGCGGATGGGGGATTGAGAGTTTAATGCTCAAAACGCAGACCTCGAGGGGCAGCGCGGGGAGTGAAGGGCTATTGTCCAAGAGGAGTACTGTGGGGACTAGAGCGAGTGGGAGTTCGGGATCTGTGGGGAGCCGGAGGTGGATGGCTGTCTGATGTTCTTTCCGCACTCTTTATTTGAGAATGTTTGTGCTTGGGGTGTTTGTACTTTTGCTTCTGTCCTCACTTTTGTGTCTCGTTTCCTCCCACTCCTACTGTTACTATTCCTTGATCTTTAGCATGGCCGGGGTTTTGTTTCCTTTGTTTGGGTGGTTCATGTTCCTGCTTTTTGGTGGCCTACTTTTTCTTTTCTTTTTTTTTAGACCGGTTTATATGAGGTAAATATTATAACGATTCACGAAGGGTACATTAACTGGCCTGAAAATATAAATTTTTTTACATAAATCTCGTACTTTTTATCTCCACCCCTCCCGCGCCAGGGCCGGGTAGAGCTCACCTAGATATTCCTTTTCCACAGTATTGTCCGACACCAACCTCGTACGATACGATTCCCACAGTTCATCCATATCAGGACGTGCCCCACCACCCCGTCCCCACTCTTTTTTCTCCCTTTTCTTTTCTTTTTTTCGAAAACCGTTACCGCGCGGGCCGTCGGCGGCGAGGTATGGCGTAATATTTGGTGTTATAGGGTGCTTGGTCATGTCGATGCCACGGTGGGTGGTATTCAAGCTGCCGAAGGAGGGGGTGAGTGGATGGAAGTATGATACGATACGGGGGTATGATACCAGGACCAAAAAAACTCGAGCCGATAGGCAGTTTTGCACCGAAACCGAGCCCTCTTTACCGTTTTCTCACCTCCCCAATGAATCCGAGGCTTCCCCTTTAGGCGTGATCAAACTGAGGGGGCGGGTAGGGCCATTTTCAGCGGGGAAATTGAATTGGACGGTTGTTGGGTCGAGGAACTACTGATAAGCTTGAAGAAAAGAGGTCGCAATGTATCTTTTGTATTGCACCCCGTATGAAATACAGTGTCGAGTCACTCTCGGATCTTGTTACGCCATTGCATGAAACACGACAAGTTATCGATCCAGAGCCTTTACACCCCCCGCTCCAGAAAGAAGTAGTTGTTTGCATGGTTTTTATAGCATCTTGAAATTTCTCAGAGCCCTGGTACTGTCCTTTTTTGAGCCGTGAGCTTGTTTTTGTGTAAAATACAGTAGCTGACGGCCCGAGTTTTTGTCACCCTACCAACAGCACGGGCGCAGTACTCGTAGCGGCGTCGGGCCACCAACGGGGTTGGGATGGGTTATCGAAGGAGCCGGATTGTACATTGACGCACATTCGGGAAATGTGGAATGTTTTTCCGAAAAGGATGTTGGTGGAGAGTTGTTCTCGAGGGATTGATAGTGCGTCTGGTCTGGCGAGCAGTTTTTTGGAGGCTTTTGTAGTGAAGGGGGGAGGACGACTGGGCAATAATTAGTTTTTCTTTCTTTATTTCTATTTTATTTTCCCCAGGATGTGAGGCACTGTACTGATGCTGTACTAGTACTATTGTATCCCGCTGGGTGCGTAGCTAATTAGCGAGTGTGTAGCTGGTACAGTATGTTGGGCCTGCGGGGCTTTCTCGCAGCAAGGAGCACTGGAGTATGATACAACAGTAGGAAGTGATCGGACTCCGTTACACATATACTGTTTATTCTAAGATATTGAATGAATGAAAGAAGAAGAAAAGGGGAAAGAAAGCAGTAGGAAATGCTCATTCTATGATATACCGGCCAACTCCACCCAGCCCTAACTGCAAAACTCACATGCCAGGGAAATAATATTATCACACCAGAATACCCACACTCTGATAGCCCATTTTCCACATTGAACCTGCTCACAACCCCCTAGCTATCTTCACACCCCTTCATGTCTGGGCCCAAGTTGTGCCATTGTTATTGGACCGGAAACAATATCATACAGCTGTCCCAACGCCTCCGAATAATCTTGTATGAAATATTCCGAACTTTGTAACTCTTTTTATATCATGGCATGATACTGCCGCTATGATATCATAGATTAAAAGCTTTTTGTTCGATGCACCTTTTACATCAAAAGCATCCACCTTCACCCGTCCGAACCAAATTTGGTGTGAAAATGGGTGTCGGAAGGAAAATTTTTGGCTATGATACTTTAATATTCTATGTTTCAGGGATAAATTTTCATACTCGAGTGATTTTTCGTGATTTGACCTCCGCAATGGAATGTCTGACCAGATTTGATCGTGTGTGGAGGGGGCGACACTATTCTTGCTTCAACATATGATATCGTACTTGTGAATTAACGCCCAGTGGCACCGCCACAGTAGGGAAGAAACAATTTGAGAGTATTGGAAAGAAGGTGCCCGCAGAAAATCCAGAAGCATTTCTAAGATAGCGCTGCGATCCTGGGGCCGCAGAACCTTGTCTCGCCTATAAATCATAGTCCCATCTTATCCTGTCTTCTTGAGGGCCTCCCCGCGGGGCCCTAGAGACTGGTGGGAGCACTGGTTGCGGATGGGGTCTTGCTTGTGTTAAAACAGTGCTAGGGAGCCGTCGTCGGGAACCTCATTATACACACAGTACAAGAGCCCTCAAAATACGCAGCTCTTAACCAAGCTTTGTTTGACCAGATATGCTGATGGAAACATGCAACGAGCCCTAGTAAGACTGCGTAATTCGTATAATAGTCTGAGCTCGTGTCTCCCCTCCCGACAGAAACGATTTACCCCCCTCACGCGACTCTAGCTATGATATCGGTTACCGGTTCCGGTTATCCCAGCGAAATATATTGTACTATGCTCACCATAATAAATCGTCCGGAAGAAGGAGATTCACTACCGCAGACAAGTTTGGAGGATCGGAAGTGAAGGGAACAAGCCTCTGTTGGGGAATATTTCCATCCCCCTCCCCCAATTAGAATATCCTATCCTATCCCGCCTTTGAATTGTGAAAAACTTTCCGGAGGACAGCAACATACCTGATAGCTGTCCTACCGGTATTTAGCACCGCTCAAATCGGAAAAATTATCGTTTGCATGGGTGTCCGGGTGTGATGAATGGGGTTGGTAAATAGGTATTTGTATTTATAGTGAGTTGGAAGTGATATAGGATCTACCAATCGGATGAGAAGTCATCTATGGTAACTAGGTGTTAATATGAAATGAATGATTGACTTGTGCGGGGTATGATACGTTCAGCCACCGAGTTTCATGCCGATCACTTTGCTCTCTCTAGGGGAGGGTAGCCTCCAAGCTCCCCATTCTCTTATCCTGCTTCTTCCATTCCTCATCAATTTGTTAAAAATATATTTCTACGGGTGTCAGGGAGCCGATCCGATTCCCCTGCAGCCAAAACGCAACTTCTCGCAGTTCAGGGATCAATCGATAAGATGGGTGATCTTCTATCAAGCACTCCTTCTTACAACCATGCCTCACCGCAATAGTATACTAATGGAGACGTCGTTTTTATTCACTTGCCTGATCTGAATGTGTCCATCACGATGCGGGCTTTCGTGCGGGTTGTTGGCTGGAAGATCTACAGTATGATACCTCGTTCGCCAAACGGCCCGGGAGTTCGTGATTAAGGGGTAATCGGCTGGCCACGGAGGCTGGCGGACTAGGGGCATACCCGTATGAGACCGTGTGAGGACACATTTCTAGACACTGTGAACGGTAGCTGGGAAGGCGAGATATCAAAAGTGTTTCAGCGAGGAGGTCCGGAACCCAAGTGAACACTATGGAAGAATCTATCCGGCTATTGCACATTGCAACAGGCACTAAAATTCCTCATAAAAACATGTGTGGTAATGTGTTGTAACACCAAGTGGACGCAATCAACCTTTCACACCGACAATAGCTCTAAATCCATGATAAGTGAGGAGGCGAACTGAGCATGAGCCAAGACTCACCATTGTCCCCAAAACCATCTAGGTTGGTAAGTGACCTTGATCTCCGATATAGACCCCTGATTCTTCGCGAAGTTTGGCAAAGTCAAGCTGAATGGAGGTGCTGGGTTCGGCCTCCTGGGGACAATCTCCGGCATGGAATTCATCCAGTGTGACGGAGTGGTTGGGTTGGGGGTCAAGAGGGGTCCGATGCGGTCGGGATCTCCAGTGGGCAAAAGTCTTGGCGATTGGACAAATCCACACCAAAATTGACGTTTTGAGGGGGTTTTAACTAGACTCCTACCGGTATTGAGCCTATGCAAATAATTTGACTCCCCCAAAACCATCCAAGTAGTTAGTTATATATGCCTGCAGAGATCATCCTCCAATTATTTACAGGGTATCCCGACACTTTCCCATTGAGTTACCCCTTATCAAAGATGTTATTCGAGTAGGGTATAAGGGGTTGCTGGGGCAATTATCTTGGCAGATTGGTGATAACCATAGCTTTTGAGCACGGGTAGAACTTGTGGTACTTTCAGTTGGCAATTGATAAGCCTCAAATTAATAGTGAGATATTACAGAGGTAAAATGTTTTTAAATCAGGGATTTGGGAATAGGGAGATTGAATTTTTGATGATAACAGAACAATCACCAAGACTTCCCCTCCCCCCCACGTATGTAGACTATCACTACTACTAGGGCTAGGAATCATTGAGGCCCACACCCACAAACTCCCACGAACGAGTGCCTGGAAAAAGAAATTCTCATTTGTCATTATCGGCTTTCCACCGACCCTTGAGTTACCCCCCACCCATCTGAGTTTGTTGAAGTTCCGGGTTTGTTTGTACTCGTATCGATCTCTGGCAGAATGGAGGCCTAGGGATGTTTTCGGAGGTCTAACGCTGCGTGTCGCGCTATAATGAGTGGACAATATAATTGTGTCATGTCGGACCTGGATTGCGTGCGTGCTCGGGATAGGAGAGCGTGGTCATGGAATCGTTACGAGCGCGTTCTTGAGAGTTCAGGGAGAGTGATACAAGGAGCGCTTCTTATATATTTGTTTACTGTTTATTCCCACGAAGACAGTTGTCTGTCCGTGCTGTACAGTACAGTACTCGAGTACCCCAAGCCCTAGGAAATTCTTTGCCAGCGCCCCTCTCCCATTACCGTGTTCGGCAAAACAAGTGGTGTGGTAATGTTAATTGGTACTCGTACAATTCTTGAGATAAATTTACCTCTACTCGTATCATATGGGGGTGCGAGAACTTTACGAATGCCTTCCTAATTTATCGCTCTTGCTGCGGTTGCGACGTTTCCCGTAGGGATCGGGTTTCAGTTCTGGGTCCCTCGAAGGAGTCCCCCTCGGACTGTCGCGACCCGCGGAAGAAAACCCACGAACCGAACACGATCTAAAACAGGGACCTTTCCCTCCCGTAAAGTCCATCTAAAACTTGTCATACTTCACTCTCAACCTTCAGCTTGCTCTATCGGTGGCCTGTATCTTATCCAAGTGGTATGTATCTTTGGCAATTATTA